GTACAAGAGAAAGAGCTAGCCCCTATCTCCGGACAACTATGCCAGTTTCAGAAGGGGTTCATAAAACAAGCACAACATAATCCATCTGTGAGAGCTAAGAAATATTGAAGCTATCATATTTGAGGCTTAGCACCAGAGAAATATGATATTTTCAATATTTCTTAGCTCTCACAGATGGGTTATGTTGTGCTTGTTTTATGAACCCCTCCTGAAACTGGCATAGTTGTCCGGAGATAGGGGCTAGCTCCGTCTATTGGACCCAACTGAGTAGGTTTTACCTGAAGACGGGGACAGATTCCAGTTCTCGAAACGTTGTGTTTTTAATAGAAACTAGACGGTTTTTTAAGAATAGACAAGGTGATGGATAATGTCCAGCAACATAGTAATTGTAACAATTTACCATCATCACAGACTTTTAGATCTTATTAAGTTAGACTGATTTGTTGACCGCCTCTGTGGTCTAGTGGTTAGAGTTCCTAGCTACGGATCCAGAGGTCCCCTAATTCCGTATTGATGTCTCTTCTGGCCCAACACCGACAAGACGATTCTAGACGCGCATACGTACAGTAGTACCTTGTATGCACAGAGTTGCTCATTCCCTTGAAGGTCATATAACACGGACGAAATGATCAACCGGTAACAAACAGCAATCAGTCTATCATAAATGTACAAGCAGGAAATGTAGGCCTAATCGGCGTAAAAATATTAAAAGTAGTGCCCTTTTAAGGCTTATAATTGCGTGCACAAGAGAACGGAGACTTTATCGCTTCGCCGGCGATAGCCCCACCGCTATGCGGAAGTCCCATCGGCTCCGCGGCGCTTAGAATTCAGATAAACCGGACGCCACTCAGATAACGTCACATTTCGACGAGGACGACAACGTCCATATTATTTCAGAGGTGTTTCCACAAATAATTTCCGAGAATAAAAAGCTTTTACAAACGGAATGTATCACGACAGGAAAGTAAATTAAAAACTTCCCTACCTGCCCATTCTTGTCCATTTCGTTGTTGGTGAGTTTGACTTTCTCGAAGGAGACGACCTGCTTCCTGAGTTGCTCCCCGGTGAAGGGCGAATCGGGGTGCATGTAAAGGCGACAGGGGGCGGGAGGGTCGGCCTTACCGGCCACGAGCCACGATGACCGGTGGTACGCGTACCGATACCGTTTGTTGTCCACCGGAACAATGTCCATCAGCACGGCGTACCTTTGGTCGGGTCTAACACCCGTGAAGGAGACGCGGCACGTGGGGAACATCCGCCTGCGAGCAAGAACACACTGTGTTAACACTGGAACATCCGCCTGCGAGAAAGAACACACTGTGTTAACACTGGAACATCTGTCTGCAGAGCAAGAAGACATTGCTTTAACATTGGAAAAGCCACGTGCAGAGCAAGAGCACAGTGTATTAACATTGGAACATCTGTCTGCAGAGCAAGAACACGCTGTATTAATAGTGGAACATCTGTCTGTAGAACAAGAACACACCGTATTAACATTGGAACATCTGTCTGTAGAACAAGAACACACCGTATTAACATTGGAACATCTGTCTGCAGAGCAAGAACACACTGTATTAACACCGGAACATCTGTCTGCAGAGCAAGAACACACTGTATTAATAGTGGAACATCTGTCTGTAGAGCAAGAACAAACTATATTAACATTGGAACATGTCTGCAGAGCAAGAACACACTGTATTAATAGTGGAACATCTGTCTGCAGAGCAAGAACACTCTGTATTAATAGTGGAACTTCTGTCTGTAGAGCAACAACACACTGTATTAACACTGGAACATCTGCCTGCAGAGCAAGAACACACTGTATTAACACTGGAACATCTGTCTGCAGAGCAAGAACACACTGTATTAATAGTGGAACATCTGTCTGCAGAGCAAGAACACTCTGTATTAATAGTGGAACATCTGTCTGTAGAGCAACAACACACTGTATTAACACTGGAACATCTGTCTGTAGAGCAAGAACACACTGTATTAACACTGGAACATCTGTCTGCAGAGCAAGAACACACTGTATTAACACTGGAACATCTGTCTGCAGAGCAAGAACACACTGTATTAATAGTGGAACATCTGTCTGCAGAGCAAGAACACTCTGTATTAATAGTGGAACATCTGTCTGTAGAGCAACAACACACTGTATTAACATTGGAACACCCGCTTACAGAGCAAGAACAAGCTGTATTAACATTGGAACACCCACTTACAGAGCAAGAACACGCTGTATTAACATTGGAACATCCGCCTGCAGAGCAAGAACACACTGTATTAACAATCGANTGTCTGCAGAGCAAGAACACACTGTATTAATAGTGGAACATCTGTCTGCAGAGCAAGAACACTCTGTATTAATAGTGGAACATCTGTCTGTAGAGCAACAACACACTGTATTAACACTGGAACATCTGCCTGCAGAGCAAGAACACACTGTATTAACCTAACGCTGTATTCTTCCTTTGCGTTGCGATGTGACTCTCCGTAACCAGAGATTATATATCCTTTCGTCATTTAATGGGAACTGTGCCACCCATAAACATTTTGAACGATGAGGAATCGTTGAGAAAATGTTAATAGTTGGATCCCTGCTTTATCTAAAGCAGTTAATATATCAACGCAAAAGGAATCAAAATGAAACTTCGCGTGGCATAATACAACGTACACCTGCACCTCCAGATCCAAACACCATAATCGCCCCCGAAGACGGAGCATGGGGATCAACAAACCCGAAATACATGTTCCGTTTCTGCGCGTGTAGAACGAACTCAAACACATTATTTTGTACCGCAAGAAGCAGTTGGTTGAGGCACTATGCTACAAGCCGGAAGGTCGGGGGTTCGATTCCCGATGTGGTCATTGGATTTTTTTTTCAATTGACCTAATCCTTCCAACCACACTATGGTCCTGGGGTTAACTCAGCCTCTAACAGAAATGAATACCAGGAATTTTCCTTGGGGTAAAGGATGGCCGGTGCGTAAGGCTGACAACATCATCTGAGAGCCGATTGTCTAGAAAATGTGGAAGCCTCGACGTCTCACAACCGTATGAGCGTTCACAGTCTGTTACAGGGGTAGCTTTACTTTTTACCTTTACGGATTAAATAAAGATTCTGTAAATACAGAGCGTCATTTATAAATTAAATAATGGGAAAATGGTAAATTGCATGCAAATTGTCCCATACGCTTTAAAACCTACCCTGCTTTCTCGTCTCCTGTTACCTCTTTTCTCCCTTTCGTTTTACCCTCTCACCTCTCCTGTCTTCATGCATAATATTATTCTTTCCTTCATGAATTATTAGCTTCAGGTGGCAGCATACAGTTTATCTTCTGTGGCTTGCTACTTCTTCCCTTCTTCATGGAGAATATTCCCATTTAAGGAACTGACATACCCTACAGCTCGGCTGGTAAATTTCCGCGTCTAGTGAAATCTAAGCTTCACTTCCGTGTTCGTAACAGCCCGCCATTTCATACTGATTTTATCTGAGCCAGATGAACCTGATCCACAATTTCACATCCTGTTTTTCAAAATACATTTTAATAATATCCTCCACCTCCTTGTTTAAGACCCCTATGACGTATCTTCACTCTTACTAAATCCTGTCTGCAGTGTTCATCTCTCATTTGCGTGCTACGTGACATGTCAATCTCATTCTCCGTGATTTTATAACCCAGCAGCATTTTCTGAAGGACTTAAATTGTGATGCCCACCATTAAAATTAAAATTTCTTTCGTCCTCCTTTCATTTTCTCCATCCGAAATTCAAGTGTTCTCCTTAACACCTTCTTCTCACACACTCACAGTGGTTTTTCCTCAGATGTGATATCATGCTTCACAGACTCCGTGGCCTGTAGTCCGCAAGCGAACTATACCGACCGAGCGACCACCGCTTGCCGGCGAAGTTAGTGCCAACTTTTGTGGATAGAGTGTGTCACGTGGTCAGCGAAACGGATCCCCACGGCCGTTAATCTCGGTTTTCTAGACCAGAGCCGCTACTTCTCAATTCAAGTAGCTCCTCAGTCATCCTCACGAAGCTGAGTGGACCCCGTTCCAGATCCACTACTTCTCAGAAACTCTGGTATCGAAGACGGGACCTCTTGATCTGTAGCCAAGAAGTCTAACCACTAGATCATAGAATGTTTCATAACCAAGCTAATTTTATGAAAAAAAAAACGCGATGTTTGACCGAATAAGAACAATAACAACAAAATATTGTGATATATATACCTATTGCCAAGTAACAGCTGTGTAAACAGGCGACAGTACAACAGCCTTTGCTAGGGAACAGCTGTGGACACGTTTCCCCGGTAACGAGAGAACACGCAATAATGGAAGAAACGTTTTCTGCTCGGTCCGTGTCGGACCTATATATCGAAGAGAAATTAAAAGCTGGTAGTCTCCTATGTGGAGCCCTGCGAGCCGTAGGAGGTGACGAAAAGGGAAGTCTCAAATCTGAGACAGTAAAATATGGTCGCGAGTCTCACGGCACTCGGACATGAAAGTGACCACGCTGACGAGGATCAGCAGAAATTGTAAACGACAAGCCCGTCCTCTCGTCAGAGAACACCCCACAACAACAACAACAACAACAACAACAACGCAACTGGACAGTAATACAGATCTGGTCTTAGGCCCCAGATGGGTGCTTTATTCCAAGATAGACTGACCAACTGACGGTCGGGTGTAACATAAGACTCAGACTCAAGTTGGCAGTTGAGGCTGGGAACAGTTCGGGAACCCATAGGAAAGGGAATGTCCGCTGTTGGAAGCCGCTACCAAACAACGAGTAGTGAAGACTAAGAAGACTTCATGTGTGCTGCAGTCACAGTGATCTGTGGTGTGCGTAACTCAGGGAAACTGTCGTAGTTATTTGTAGTTACGGACTGTAATTGTTCGATAAATCCGATTGCAAATCCAATCTCCGTCTGTAGTCACTCCCTCACGTGACAATATTAATTAATCTTATTAAAATGATTAGCATTTCCCGGATTCTCGACGTCAGTATCACAGAATACCTAGCGCCAAATGACTTGATCATGGATGAATCATGAATTGAAAAGCACTTGGATGGAAGAGGTTGTGGTTTAAGCGGTGCACTATTCTGGCATTTGCCAGGAGGGCCTGAAGGAAGTCAAGAAAACTTCCGTAATTACATATATATAGCGTGCGCGCAGAGATTCGAAATGAACACCTCTCAGTTCCAAGTCTAGTATTTTACTATTACTCCAGCCCTTTAAATGAAACACTTAGTACTGATAAGAAAGGTAACAGAATGGATCACGGTTCTACATTTTAATATTATCGAAAGCTTAGTTACATTTGGGCCGCCTCTGGGGTCTAGTGGTCAGAGCTCCTGGCTACAGATCCAAGGGTCCGGGTCCGATTCTCAGCGCTACCAGATTTTCTGAGAAGCATTGGGTCTGGGACGAGGTACACTCTGCCTCGTGAGGACAATTCAGGAGCGGCTCCGGTCTAGGAAACCGAAATTAGCGGCCGTAGGAATCCGTTGCGCTGATCACGTGACAACATCTATCCGCTAAAGTTGGCACTAACTTCGCCGATAAGCGGCGGTCGCTCAGTCGGTGTACTTTGCTTGCGGAATAAAAGTAACGGAGTTTGATTTTTTTTTTTTAGTTACATTTGTCTTCCTTGTTACAGAACGTCAAATAAAACCATGAACTTTAAAAGTGGGTGATGTTTTATTAATTAATAAATTAATTAACAACACTGTACGCATCTGCCCTAGTAACTACTTTGGTTAGATTATATCTTAAACAAATATAATAAAGCATAAACGTACTCCTGTGTTGCGGATAGGGGCTATATTTAAATTTGCTGTACTATATTTATAATTTAATGACTATGCTGATCCTATTATCAGTAACCTGATATAATTAAGAAAACTAACATCACGTGAATCATTAATCAGCATGGGGCTTGGGGTCCCGACGTTTCATTAGCTGAACCTCTTCTTGACTACACTTTAAAATAATCCCATTTCACTTGACGTTCGTTTACATTTTAGATATCTGCAATTCAATCGATATTACTCCATAACACCATAATTAGTCTTAAGTGTGATGCCTCGGGAGTCATTACACACACTTCGTATAAGTGGACAGCGTGACAAATGGTCCCTTTCCTTCGTGAGGGGGAAGAAAGAAATGGACTCCCCTGTCTCTACGCGGATCTGTTTTCATATAGAAACGATTTGGCCTGCTATTGCAGTGAAGGCGGGGACATGCGGT